GCTGGGCTTTAATCAATTCTCATTGACACAATTTAATTGAGGCGCTAGCTTGGGAAATAAAAAGTGATCACTTTGCGACAATTTGTTGACGCCTCTCTCTCCCAGACAGAATAGTGTATATATGGTATATATTATATATAGACTTGTATATGATCTATGCATGCATGTTTGAGTGAAAACTGAAATGTGTTTCTATATACAATTCGATTCCGTTTATTACTTGCACACAAAGCCAGCCGATTAATCTCAATTAGAGGCCAATTGAGGCTCTAAGCGAAAATGCTGGAGAAAACTTCCGCTGCCTCGGATTACACGTTCAAAAATTTTGTGTTTAAATTGGTTAAATATTTGTTTAAAAATATAAACCTATTTTTAGGGAGTTCTGCATGTTTTTAATAATTTGTGAACAGTTTTCGAGGGGGGTTATGCTTTTGGTTGGCGACTTTTGCTTAAAAAACATTTGTTTTTCGAATTAAATTTTGAAGTTTTAAACTCTTTTCTCTTTTTAAATAATTTTTCAATTAAATCACTAATTTGAACTATTTTCTTATAATTTTCCTTGAAACTTGATTTTTTTAAATTGAAAATTTTAAGAAAAAATCAAACAAAAACAAACGAAAATAAATTAATAATCGATATTTTGGGCTAAGCCGCTAAAAATGTAAAGTAAAGTAGTATCAAAGTAAAGGATCAAGAATCAAAAAGTATCTAAATAATGCCAAATCTATCGGTATATTAACAAAATCATTAAAGAACTTAGTGAATTAAGGTATTACAGAAGTATCATGATACCGAAATGATATCGAAAATTCTTTCGATTTAAAAAACATCGAAATAATATAGAAAGTATGGATATATTAATAAAATCAATAAAACGTATAGCAATCTGAAGTATCGTAATATCGAAAAAGTCAATATATTAATAAAATCAATCAAAATGTAGTACCGTTTTATAGTCAATTAAAAGTAATGTTTATAGTAATATGGTAATTTTTTATCACCAAATATCGTATTTCGATAAAAATAGGATTCAAATGATAAAGCAGAAAGCTATTTTAATATATGTACCTCAGATTTAATCTCAATATTTAAGCATCTCTGCCTATCAAAATCAAAGAAACTATAAATAGCCAACAATTATAAACCTTTTTGTTCAAACTTACCCCTTTTAGGTGCCAGTGTAGGCATAAGAGGCTTGTTCGATACTTGTCCGATACGTGTCCGATGCTTGTCCGATACTTGTTCGATACTTGTCTGCCCATTAGCTGCACCTGTTCTTTTTCACTCTTTTTTGTGTTGTTTGTTTGTTGTTTTTTTTTTGTTTTGTTTGCCTGATGAACTTGAGGGCTACAAGTGTTTTCTCTGTTTGTCTTCTGGCTCCGACCCTCTCCCATAGATACGACAAATAGAAAACGAAACGTAATCAATGGGGCCGCCAAGCACTGCAATCGTATAACCTCTATATCTATATCTAATAATAATGACTCATCCAAATGTCCCGCCTAATTGCCACTCGGCGGCGACCCAAACGATAAGGTAGATGGCCTCAGATACATATTATTTCCCGAAACATATAGTATTTAACAGATCTTTAAAGCCCAGCACGTGTTTCTCGTGAAATCTTCTTATCTGAGAAGAGACAGGGCGTTGCAAAAGGCAGTAGCAGTCCTTCTTCCGCCAGTAGCTCTTTGTCTCGAGTTCGAATCGTAACGTTAAGCGTTACCTTATTTCATGTTTTATTATCTCTCTCGGGGTGGCTCTTATTTGTTATCGGGCTCTCTTTATGGAGATAAAGCCACTCCAATACAGCCCTTTGTTTATTGCCATTAATAATATTATTTGCCTTTTTATTTTTTTAATGTTAATTTACGGCGCTTCTAAAAATAGGATCCAGTATCAGCACCCACCTTTAAGGATGTAGTCTCATGTGCCGGCCTACTTTTTAGAGGTTATTTCAAAAAAAATTTTTTGTAATAAAAAATAATGCGATCGTTTCAATTTTCAAATATGTTTTTATAAGCATCATAAACTATTTGAAAATATTTTGTTTAATTTATTCTTGTGTAGTTTAATACACTTTATAGCATGCCAAAGTATGCATATAAAAAAAAAAGATAGGTCCTTGGCGCAGGTGATTTCGACTGCTAGAGTCATCCGAAACAAAAAATTAGAATAGATTATTGTTTTGTAAGCTAATGGCTCTGTCCCGTACTAGAATGAAATATTTTCATCAATAAACAACAAAATGGCGAACTCACAAAACAAAAATTAAAAAAATTAAAAAAATTTATCTTAAATTAATGATAAAAAAAAACTAACCATTAAAAATAAATGATTCTAGTCCGGGCCAGAGGTGTTACTTTTTAGAACAACATATCCAAATTTCAGCTAGATCGGTACCATAGAATTTTGTGAATCACCTGCGCCGCACACAAAAATGTCGTTTCGAGAAAAACGCGTTTAAAGTTTAGACGCTACCGAGAAACTCATACTTTTCGGTGTAGGCGCGCTCTCGATTATGGGCTGTATCTCTGTCATTATTTGATATTTTTATTTGAATCTTTAACAGTACATTCATAATAAACAATACTATCAAAATATAAAAAAAAAAAAAAATTGATTTTTTCAACCTTACACATGAGACTACATCCTTAATTAGCCTAATCGTCTTGCAAATCTAAATCGGAATAAAAAGAAACCCCACAGAACCCTTTAATAATGTTGTGAAATTCATAAATGGAATCATGCCCCCCCACTTTGACATTATCGGCTACTTGTAGAGAATATATGTAGTTCCAAATAGAAGAGAATTTTTAGCGCACGCGGCATGACTTTGCACAAAAAAACTGCAAATACTACAAGACCTCTCTCTCAAAAAAAAAAAACCGGAAAGTAGTAGTAGCAGTATGTAGATCGCCTTCTCAGAGTTACTCAGAGTTTCTCGATTCCCCATACACTCACGATGTGACCGAGCATTATTGGTGATTAGAAATCCCAGTCATGGCGTGATTAGCAAGGTTTTCATAGTGGTTCTTAAACATTATACTATATTTTATGGAAATCTAGGAATTTCTGGTGGGAATTTGAAGGTTTTAATCGATCCAGATTAGGTGAGGTATTTCATCTAAATGGGTAATAGGTCTAGAAGTTATAAATATATCTCATTATAACTTCTAGAGTATCTGAGACTTCGACTTTATTTAAAAGTCTCTCGAGAGTTTTTTCCACTCACTTGATCGATTGCCTCAAGCCATGTCTGTGTAAGTCTGGCGAGTGTCATCATCGGAGACTGTTGAGACTGTAGAGCCGTAGAACCCCCCCTAGAAACCCCGTCTGATCTTTTCCACAAAAGTGCGTCAGCGGGCGGGCGTCAATTTATGGCACGCTTCGATGAAGTTCAATGGCAACAAAAGACTTAAAAGATTCAGAAGAACGGGGCGATCACAGAGAAGAATTGCTGGGGGAGAGACTACAGACAGCAGTACAGACGTCGTGTGTCTGAATGAAGACATCCCGTGGCCCAAGTCTCTGCCTCCAGGGTACTGGCTTTGTCCTCGCATTATCGATGCATAAATAAACAAGATGCCACACGTTCCGCGAAACCACAAACCGGGCTCTATATACTGGAAAATATTTCTTATAGAGAAGGATTATAATATAGGGATATGTAAGGACTTAATAGCTTAAAACCAAGGCCCTTTGATAGCCCCTACATACCTCTATAGTCCTTCAAGTCCTACTGGAAATGTTTATATAAGCCCCTGGTTAGTACCTATCTTTTATTCCCAGTGTGCTTTTATTTTTTCAACTTGTCTCATGATTCCGCCTCAGCCGTTGACAACAGGCTGGTTCTTAGTCTTTCTTGAAGATGCTGTTCTGAGGAGTCCGGTCTGGTGACTTCCACTCTCTGTCGGAGCTCCAGATCGTTCAATTGCCTCCCCAAATGGAATCAATGCTTTGCATACCAATGGCATGTCGCACCCATTTATCAGGAGAGCATTTCAGGGGGGGATTGCAATCAAAAAATATCTAAAAGATAGACCATTCGATAGATAGACTAGGCGGGAGACTAGACTGGAGACAGAGTACACCCAGTCTGGGGTAATCATCAATGAACGCCAATGATTGTCATAAATGGCATATAACCACAGCCATCCAGCTATCTGACAACGTTTCCCCAATCCCAATTAGCAATTAGAGCGATATCTATGGTTATTGAAGGGGGGGAGGGCTTTAAGCTATTAAAGGTGTGTCAGTAATATGGAGGACACTGGCAGAAATATAGGTAGATTCTCTGCAGGGATAAGGATTTCCTTGTGATATTGCACGAACTTTAAATAAACTTCATCTTAGAGTTGGATACCATCTTGGATACCTATTAAAGGGTTTTATATAAAAGGGTATTTTATTTTATTCTCTGATTTTAATATTTTTCTTTAAGGTTTTTTTTATATTACTTCTAAGAGGGAGGTATTGTTTTGGAATTACAATTAATTATTAAATTTGTATTATATTATAACTTTATATTGAATATATATGGAAATACAATCTTAATAATAACACATTACAAATTCGATGCATTTTTTTATGATTTTTCTTTCTTTCAAAGTCCTCTTTGAAGTCCTCTCTTTTTTGAATCGCCGTGTTCTTTTTTAATCCTTTCTTCGGATCATCATATTAAACTCAAGGTAGAGCGCACCACTTCTATCAAATGAAAATAAATTAAAAAAAAAAAGTTTTTTTGGTATTAGTTAAATAAAAGATAAAAGAAAAAATAAAATAAAAACATAATACATACCGAGGTTCGTGCCACCAGCCATAGCCATATCTCTTTGCCAAATTAAGATCGGGATATCCATCCTCATCTCGATCCCAGGTGGAAAACTTGGCTTGCCTAAGGTTCGGCAATATGTCTCCAGTACATCCTTTGGTATATTTCACCATGTAGCTTTCGCTTCGATTCCCAACGACAAACATGTCGCATTTTTCAGGACTTATTCTTAACTCATAAGAGTTTCTAGATGTCAGGAGGTGCAATCGTTCGAGTCCAATAAAGTATTTATCGTCATACTGCGTCCCGATATTTCCGATTCCTCTTTCAAATTCCTCATACGTGCGATTAAAATAATTTGTTTTATCCCAATGGTTATAAACCATCATCCAACCAGAACCAATCTCCTCATTTGAGTAACAGACCACTTTAAATGGATCTGAACCTGGAATTTGGATTTCTTGGACGATCCTAGTTTCATTTTGGATTTGCGGACACCGATCTGGATGTTTATTTTTCACATTGTTGCGTTCTGCCAACTTACCTTTGGAGGGTGGAGGTTGTTGCTGGACTGTCCTGATTGGTAATGGACTTGCTGTTCCATTATCCGAATTTTTTTTCCTCAATATTTCGCCCAATTTGGCAATGTCGTCGCGGAGTATTTTTGTAGCAAGTTCATTTGTTTTATTTAATTCACTTATTTGATCTTTTAGTAATTTGATCTCCACGTTTTTTGAACCAATTTGAGATTTTAGATTTTCAACTTCAATCACCTTCCTGTTCCGCAAGTCCAAATGGCTTTTCTGCAAATCTGAATACTCTTTCTGCAAGTCGGAGTAGTTTTTCTGGAACTTTGATAACTGGTCATAATTTTCCAGACCCTTTTGCTGCAAGTCCGTGTACTTTTTCTGCAACTCTGAGTATTCCCTATTTTGCAAGTCCGATTTATCCTTTTGTAAATGTGATATAAGGGTAGACTTCTCCAGTTCCCTTCTTTGCAAGTCGGAATAGCTTTCCTGCAAGTCCGTGTACTTTTTCTGCAACTCTGAGTATTCTTTTTTGAACTGCGATTCCTTGTCATGACACTCCTCGACATACTTCATGAGGGGCTTTACCATCGGATAAAAGACCGCCTTCCACTCAACCTCTTGGCCTTCAGTTACCGATTGGGACTGTGGAACTGAATTTAAATTAATTTTCGAACTAAAATCATCCGAAACGGGTATTACGTCACCCGATGCCAGGGCGCCGAAAATGAAAAAAGCTGCAGAAATGAGCACTACAGGAAGGATCTTCATTTTATATTTGTCCGTCTGACTTTCCACTAAAAAAACCACTGAATAATTTCAACTAATTCTGCAAGACTCTTGGCTCCGGCTTTTTAAATCATCCAAGAGCTTTGGCTTGAGCTTGAGGGTTCTGATAAGAAGTCTTTCTCCGAAATGGGGACTTTAAGTGCAAATCTATTGGGGGGTCTTCTACTCCAGAAATTTTAGAAAATTACTTATTTTGATACTTACTTAAAAATTTTGAATGAATATTCATATTCATAAAATATATTTCCTAATCGCTCAAACCAACAAAAAATATATATTTATTTACATCTTTGGAAATGCACATCTCCATGAAAAAAGAAATAATTTTATTTTGAACTATTAATGCATACTCCTTAAATATAGACAAAGAAATTTAAACAAAATTAGTTGGAAAAATATCAAACGCTTAGTCTTAATGAATTTTTAAAAACCTTCAGACTAGGAGACCCCCTTTAAAGACGAAAAAACCCCATAGAAAAATCACGGATGGAAATAAAGATTACGATTAAGAACTTGCTTATATTATATTTCTTTTTATAAAATATATGTATATATATTCCCCAAATAAAAAGAGCTTTTTTAAATGGAATTAAATTACGCCATAGTTGCCTTATCTCCAACAATTAAATAAAAGTATATGTATTTGATTTTTAATTAAATATAATATAGGGTGTTCATAAATAACTAATTAATAAGTTAGTCAGTATATAAGTAATATATATAAAATGTATATATAAAAGAAGACTACCTTACAAGAACTTGATAGGAAGTTATTTCTTCATAAACCTCAAGAACCCTTTGAACTTTCTGTCTTTTTGTATACCAGAGCGCCCAACTCCCACTAATATACTATTTCTTATCTTCTTTAGAGTATTATCCCATTTCCCGACAATGGAAAAGTCCAATCTTGCGGAGAAGAACCATGCCAGCGTGTATAACCAAACCACCAAGCCCAAGAAGCCCAAGCGACGCGACAAGAGCGACTTGGGGCCGGACTTTGTGGCTCCCGACGGAGGCTGGGGCTGGGTGGTGTGCCTGGCCGCGGGACTAAACAACGTGAGTTCCTAATATAAAGCTTAATTAATTAATAATAATCTTAAAATGTATATATGTTGATTTTTAGTTCTGCCTGTTCCCGGCCTTGCAGCAATATGGTTTAATTTATAGAAAACGCATGGACTCTCTGGGCTTTGACGCCAAACAGACCACAACTATTGTGAACGTGGTGATGGCTGTCTCCTCGCTAGTGGGTGAGTTTAGTACTTTAGTTTAAACTCAAAATAAGTACAAGCACTAATGGGTGTTATCCCCAATCCGATAGGCATCGTTAATGGCGCCATGTTCCGTCGCTTCACCTTCCGGCAGGTGGCCCTGACCGGCACCACCCTGGCCTTCCTGGGCGTCTTCATGTCGGCCTTCTGCGTCACCTTCTGGCAGTACATCATCTGCCTGTCGACCGTCTATGGCATCGGCCTGGGCCTGGCCATGGCGGCCACCTCCCTAGCGGTGAACACCTACTTCAAGCAGAAGCGACGCCGCGCCACCGGCTTCTCGTGGACGATCACCGGCCTGGGCCCCATCCTATTCCCCCACGTGTCTACTTTCCTGCTTGGCTTCTACGGCGCCCTGGGAAGCATCCTGATCTACGCCGGCATCGCCTTGAACGCCATCCTCTGCGCCCTCACCCTGCAGCCGGTGCTGTGGCACGTCACGAAGCCGGAGAAGGTCAAGGTGCCGGCCATCGAGGGCGCAACCGAGGGGCAGGAGAAGGTAGAACCTGGCGAGCTGCTCGAGGCGAACGGAAACCTGCTGACTCCCTTCCCGGATCCGTGGAGCGACTACGAGTGCAAGTACTGCCAGTACCAGAAGCGCGGCAAGCGGAGCATCTTCTCCTCGCAGTACCTTTTCAACATGGACGACCCGGAGCGACCGGGCTACGAGATCACCGAGCCGGGCACTCCCATGCTGGCGCGGGCCAACGATGGCTGGTTTGGCTCCAAGATCTCGCTGACCTCCGAGCACGCGACCGCAGCCCGGTACCGCTCCCGGCAGGCGCTGATGCGACAGGTGTCCGGGAGAAGTCGCGACAACCTGGACCGGCTGGAGCACAACAACAAGGACGACCAGGAGCAGGTGTCGCCGCCGCTCTACAAGCCCAACTACTTCAATCGCGAGCGCGAGGACATGGACCGGTATGCCAGCAAGACCAGTGTCTACTACCGGCCCGGCCAGGAGGAGCTGATGCGGTGCACCTGCTCCGAGGACAAGGCCCTGCTGCAGAAGACCGCCGAGGCGCTGAGGCTCGAGGAGCTGGATAGCCAGGCTACCGAGCTCGAGGAGGAAGAGCTCAAGAGCCGCATGACCTTTATCCAGAAGGTCAGCAAGTTCTTCGACCTCGACCTCCTCAGGGACTTCACGTTCGTCAACCTGGCCGTCGGGATGAGCATCATGATGTTCGGCGAGATGAACTTCTCGGTGCTCACTCCCTTCATCCTGCACCACTTTGGCTACGAGGACAGCCAAATATCCACCGCCATGTCCCTGCTGGCCTGCATGGACATATCCGTCCGATTCCTGGCTCCCCTCGCTCTGGAGAAGGTCAAGCTGGACAACAGGATCCTGTTCGCGTTTGGCATCCTGTGCATCGCCGTGGGTCGTGTCATTGTGGCCTTTGCCACATCCTTTGAGGCCTTGATCGTCGTGTTCCTGCTGATCGGCTTTGGCAAGGGCTTCCGCACCATCTTCTCGCCCCTGATCATCCCCAGCTACGTGCCACTGAACCGTCTGCCGGCCGCCTCCGGACTTCAGCTCATCTTCAACACCATGTTCTCCTTTGTCATGGGTCCTATTTTGGGTAAGTTTTTTTCTTACAATTTTGACTAAGCATGAAGGTAACTTGAAGGTTACATCATACATAGACTTGGAGGAATATTTTAGGGGATTCCTAAAAAAGACTTCCCATATCCATGTCTATAATTTTGTCAATATGGCAATATGTAACCGATTCTTAAACCTAAAACTATTTTTTTATTAAATTCTCTAACATTCTTTATCATAAGCTTTCAGTGAAATAGTTTCTAATGGGTGTAGATACTAGAATAATTATCCTTCCGTAGCTTAGAATAGTTAGGATGTATATTTTAGTAACTATATTCCTAACCCTCGCCTTTTTTCTGCACTTTCCAGGAATAATAACCGAAAAATTTGGATATGGCGCCACCATCCACGCCATCAACGGCCTCACCGCACTGGCCCTCCTCCTCTGGCTGACCGAGTCCCTGGTGCGTCGCATCCTGGGACGCCCCTCCAAGGGTCTGGGCCAGTGATGCTGGTGGATAGATGTCCTGCTCCTGCACTTTGATTCAGCGACTGGATTAACTTGTATTACTTAACTTGGAACTTGTCCCTCCACTCCCTTTTAACCTCTAACCTTTAACCTGACCGACCCTGTCGGAACTGAACTGCTTGCGTTGTGTGTAAGACAGAGAAAGAGAGAGAGAGAGATGAAGTTTAATTGTTGGATCCCAAGGATATATGTATCCCTAGACTAGTCCACAGTCCCAGCTAGATGTGTGTGCATAGTATTACTTTGGTACGGCACACCGTACTTAAAGATACCTAAGATACCAGATACAAGATCCCGATACCAGATAAATCATAAAAGATATCAGTTACATATATACCTTAAATCTTAATTTTAAAAAATGTATAATTAAGTTTTTTTTGCGATTGATACTCTGTGCTCTGTATGTTTTGATAGAAAAGTTTATGTGTGTGTTGATGAAATTTAAATATATATAATCTTTTTTTTTTATTAGTCTATAGATCTATTTAGAGTTACACCCTAGTCCTATAAGTGCATAAATGTAATTCTGTATGTATGTTCTGCAATGGCAAGTTGATAAATGTAATTTTGGTTAGAAAAGAAGCAAAAATGTGGTGTTTTATTTGGGGGGAAAAGGGGAAAGGCTTAGAAAAAATAAATTTCTATGTGCTTAGTTAGAATTTATTACCAAAGAGCTCTAAGAGACGTGACCGAAAGAAAAACATTAAAAATTTGCAATATAAGCGAATATATGGTAGTTTGTTTGTGAAAGAATGGAAAGGCTCAGAAAATAATATATGTGCCTAAAGTGACTACTAATTAATCGATTAAGATCTATGAAGACAGGTAGGGATCTTTTAGGACCTATTAGGTAGGGCTAGTTAAGAGATAATGTGTTATTTGGAGGAAATGGGAAAAAGGTTTCAAAAATAAACCATTTGTGCTTGGTTAGGATCTATTTGTCTATTCTATCAACTTAGGATTCAATAGTTAGGAGATTAGTTAGTTAGTTAGTTAAGAGAATAGTTAGTTGAGAGTCCTAGTTAATTTAGGACTAATAGGTTAAGAGAAACCTATTAGTTAGGAGCTAACATTTTATTATTAATGCCAATAAATAGTATGTGCCTATACCTATGTACATATATGGTCTAATATTCGATAGAGATGCTAATAGAAAACCAAGGAGATTTTTCGAAAAAGGTTGCGAGTCTTTTAGGACCTTTAGGTCAGAATTGATTAGGTTAGTATCTTTGCGGACCTACTAGTTTGCAGCTAGATATATTGTTTTATTTTTGAAAAAAGAAATGTTTTCAAAAATAAATCAACATGCCTATATGTGATATCAATATCCCTATACATGATTTATAGGATTAGAATAGCTTAAGATATCTTAGTATCAATTATTTTAAACCTCTAAGCCATAACCGATTAATAATAAGCATTTAATTTTTCGGCAGAGGTATTACTTACCTTTCTCCAAAAACCCTGCACACTTTTGGGCATTTTGCAAAAAAACGTCTCGCAACTGAAAACAAAATTGTTCAAAAAGATTTACAAAAGATTTCATCAGAAATGTTGAATGGAAATTTTCTTCAAAAAAACAAAACAAGCATCCATAGGGAAGTATATTTTTGTCAAAGCAGCTTCCAGTGTCTTTTATGAATTTCGTTAAGAAACGAAACTATTTCAACAGGCCAGCCAGACAGGCGAGCCGGCACAACGTATCCGTGAGATACTTTTCGCCAACAGAAGACAGCGCTCTGTTAACCAACAGAGCTGGTGGGGAGCGCTGTTATTACGTGGGTTTTGTTCGATTGGCGGGCGCCTTAGTCGCTCCGATCCGATCTGTGGTCGGATCGTCTCAGTATATTTTTCACAAATTCATTTCAGTTGACTTCCGCAGCTCGCGGCGATTAGAAATCGTTTGCCAAATGCCAGGGTATCGGGCCAGCCCACTAAAAACGTGCTCAAAATCACTTAGTGTTGTAGTTAGTGTTCTAGTACCTGTCCCAGCAGGTGAGCCAAGGAGTGGTGCCACCAGTAATACACAAAAATAATAATAATTATAGTAAAAACTATAAATTAAAATACAAAATATAATGTCAACCTTGAACCTGCCTTGCATTTTTTTCTCAATTAGATGCAGGTCTGTCAGTCAGTCAGTGAGTGAATGAGTGTGTAAAAAAATAAGAAAAACAAAAAAGAAATAAATAAATCTATAAAAAAAAGAAATAATAGAATAGAAGGCATTCAGAAAATCTACAACGCCAGTACTAAAAATAAAAGCTAAATAGCTAAAAATTACAAGAGCAGGAAAAAGAGAGAGGCTGCCAATTTGCGCACTTGCCAAGGATATACTATAAGGATACTATACTATAAGGACACCCACCACTCGCTGGCGGCAAAAGGTGAGAACACGCCGCTGGTCATGCTCCTGGCACGAGATCGGTCATAACATCCTTTAGTGAGCGGGGTGGTTCTTATATAGAAAATATATTAAAAATAAAACAAAATCAAATGAAACTCTAGTAGCTTGAAACTAATATTTTCTCCAAGTGCTGCTAGGCGGGAAACTGTCATTAGTCCACTAAAATATCACAAGTTATCTCCAAGCACAGCTGCTGGCAAAAAAAAAAAAACACAAAACTAATAAATAGTTGACCAGCTTCGAACCATAAGAGAGTATATAAAAAAAAAAACAAAGCATGTAACGGCATCGACACCCACTATCTTATCAATACTATCAATAGAGAATCCATTCCATTATATACCCCAGTCAGTGGCTTTACTTATCTTGATTTAGTTTCTACAATATCTGTTATTGTGCCAATTGTTTGGCGATCAACTCGAGATAATAAAGTAGAGCTCTTTTTTCCAAAGTGCCGGCTAAAGTTTTTTTTCAAAAATGTACAAGAAAATATATATAATATTTGTGTAAATTTTGTAAAGCTTCCCACGTAAATGTCACATTCTTATGGACTCGTAAAAAAATAATTTTTAATAACTAATGTTCAGCAGCTGTTCAATAATTTGTATATATTCATGCTTATCAGTTAGTCTCAACAAACTAGTTTAGAACTTTAAAAAAACGCTCTTTTGAACCATTTTTGTAACAGAAAGCTTTATCAAATCTTGGTACAAGCTTACATATTAATTTAAAATAAATTGGTAGACTTTAAGCTAGTGTCTGAGCTTTAGGAAACACTTACACTAACTGATAAGTGGACCAAATCTTACGGCCCAGACACCCCCCTTGACCTTGGGGGGCGGCTAGGTGGTGGCATCGTGAATCTCTCTATAGAGGACATTAACATGATTCATTCCCGGCGATTTGCGCTTTATTCTGTGTATCTGGGTCTCAAATATTTCTGAATTTTCTGAGTCTGTCACATGACGCCACTCCTGATAAGCGCCTAGAAGAAACAGGTGGAATATGCGATGGCGAGGAGAGGAACAAGACAGTAGAGAGATGAATGGCAAGATTTGGAAAGATTTCAACGCCATGAACCCGGCTCCAAGTCTGATGGCAACACAAAAACACACAAAATAATAATTATTTTAAATGCGTAAAATTTGGAAGGAATATGGAGGTGATTTTCTTAGTTATATTAGTTATATAAGGTTTTCCTTCTATATTTTGTTATACAATATATATTGTTTTTATATTTATAAATAATTCTGTTTCTAAGTATCATTTATTTTGAATTAAATGTTTTTTTCTCAATGTAAGAAAACCAGAACTAACTAGCATTTAAGTTTAAATTATGAAAATTTTTTTTTGTTTAATAAAATTAAAATTATAAGAACACATGTATAAGAAATAATTAAACTTACTTTTAAGTGTAATTTCATTCATTTTTTTTTTTTAAATTTCTAGTTATTTAACGTTACTTTATGTTGATTACTCTTTAGGCTCACGTGGGATACTTAGCCCCCCATTGAAGTATTTTTATTCACATTGCAGAAATATAATTGGAAACTATGTAAATATGCATTTACCACTATTTAAAAAGGTGTATTTAAATATGTATTTAATAACTAAACAAGAACTAATTTTACTAGCTTGGGGGATACACTCTTCCCAAGACAAACACATGGCACTTATGCCAAATGGATTTAATAAAACGATGCGAAACTATAAGCAATTATTACACGTGGATAACCGGCACCATAATTGCATTGTAAATAACCATTTTAGGATTTTTTTATAACGATATTGAATTATTAAACTATTATTAATCAAATCATGTTTTTGGAATGTTTTTAAGGGGATATTAAGCAATATTTAAGGATAAACACGCGAAAAAGAATTTAGGAAGAAAACAAAGGATTAATATGAGCTTAAGATCGGTAACTCTCTCGAGTAAGTGCCAGTGAGAGCAGGTGTAAAGAATTGAAGTAGATTTTATTTTGGAAAGGTAAGAAAAGTAAAAGCAGCCGCAAGATGTATAGAGAGTAAAATTTAGTGATAACTTCAGAACTAGTAGTGATAGCAAGAAAAGGAAAGAAAGTGGGAGTGAGAGTAGAACTGGGAGTAGGAGTTAGATCATTAATGAGAGCAAGAAAAGGACTAGGAGTAAAAGTATCAATGAGAGGAAAAAAGATTGAGAAGTAGTGAGAAATACAAACTCTCCTTATGAAGAGATTTTCACATTTACCAATTCAGGTATATCTTTTCAACACTATTCAGGTGTTTGGCGGGCAAACAAAGTTTTTTAAAAATTAAATCTACATATATTCTGTTATTTTTACCACTTTCAAACTTTCTATATGACGTATGTATAGAATTTTGAGATCGTGACAGTGGCATCTTCAGAGCCCGTGCACTTAATTGTATGACAAGTGATCGTTAAAAAATTGAGGCAAGTAATTGCCAAGGAAACCGTAAATCATTTACAAACTCAATGGAAAAATTTCTCCCCGACACTGGCACTTCCCCATTCCGTCTATAATATACAGTCTTGAATGGTTTTTTAATTAATTTATTTTCATATTTCTTGATTTTCTCCAGAGAACTATGGAGGAGAAGAAGGTATATCAGGATACGACGAGACCGCTGCCGAAATCATCCAGAAATCGTTATTACAACAAACATGATAAGAGCGATTTGGGTCCGGATTTCGTAGCTCCGGACGCAGGATGGGCGTGGCTAGTGTGTGTGGCCGCCGGAGTATCAAATGTAGGTAATTTTAATAATTTTTCTAACTATTGTTTTTTTTTTAATTAATAACTATTTCCATTTAGCTATCCATATATCCCTGCCTGCAACAGTTTGGGTTTCTTTTTCGGGGACGTTTGGCAGACCTGGGAATGTCCAGTTCACAAATTACGACCATTATCAATACAAATCCGGCCGTATCGGCCTGTACGGGTCTGTTGAATGGCCCCATGTTCCGGCGCTTCACTTTCCGGCAAGTGGCCATGGCCGGATCCCTGTGCATATCCGGCGGAATTATTCTGACCGCCTTCTGTGAGACTTTTTTGGGGTATATGTTTGCTTATGCTCTGCTTTTTGGTGAGTTTTAACAAAAATATTTAATAAATTGACTAGATTTTTCTTTAAATTAATTCATATTCATTTCAACGTAATTAATGGGAATGAAAGTCCTCTTAGGTGACGAACTGCATTCAGTAGTGTAAGCAGGCAGGTGTCTTTAGGTGTTTTCTTTTATTTAGTAAAAAATACTACGAAAATTAATTTAAATTTTAACCAATTGTAGACAATTTTTTAGAACTAATAATAAAAGAAGGCACTTCAAATAAAATTTTAAAAGTCCTTGACTTAAAAATACTTTATTACTTCATTCTCTCAATCAGTTAAGTTCTATTACTCACTTCAGTCAGTGAATCACCCGGACTCGTGATATAAATATATAATTAAAATTATTATTAAAAAAATATTTAGCAAAATAAAACATAGTGAAATTTATATTTATTTAAAGGCTTCGGAATGGGAATCAGCGTGAGTGCCTCCTCGCTGGCCATCAACACTTACTTCCAGCACAAGCGCCGCCGCGCAGCCGGATTCTCGTGGACGATCACCGGACTGGGGCCGATCTTCCTGCCCTACCTGGTGACCTTTCTGCTGACCCTCTATGGCGTCCTGGGCACAACCCTGCTCTTTGCCGCCCTGTCCCTGCACTCGTTTGTGTGCGCCTTGATCTACCAACCAGTCAGATACCATACCAAGCCCGGCGAGGCTCAGGTTCGGGATCTGGAGCAGCAGCCGGAGGTCTTGTGTCCGCACTGCGCCTGGCAACAGAAACGAGAGCCGGGCGGGATATTCTCCAGCCAGTATCTGTGCCAGGACGACGACGCCCAGCGACCGGGATACGAGATCTGTGAGCCGGGAACGCCGATGCTATCACGGGCCAATGACGGATGGTTCGGATCCCGGTTGTCCTTGACGTCGGGCCGCTTGCGTTTCCGCACCATTTCCAGTTCCAAGGACCTGGAGCAGACCCAACGACTGCACTGTCCCATCAGCGAGGAGCGCAATCCTCGGGAGGAGGACGAGTTGGGTGAGGACCAGGAATCGGGACCGGACTTCCTCAAGCCTAATAATTTCCGCCGCGAGCGTGTGGAGTCCAATTTGGAAGCAAAATTATATTGTCGTTGCGACGAGATACGCAAGGAGCTGTACAACAACAACAACATCCAGGATAAAGTCAAGGAAAATGAAGAAAAAGCTGAGAAGGATGTGGATGCGAAGCACGACCCCCAAATGAGCTTTCTTAGCAAAGTGGTGACCTTCTTTGATCTGGATCTCTTGAGGGACTTTACATTCGTGAATCTGGTGGCAGGACTAACCATCATCAATTTCGGGGAACTAAACTTCTCCATCCTAACACCCTTCATCCTGGCCGACTTTGGCTTCGAAACTCGCCAGATCACACTGGCCATGTCGATACTGGCCGGCCTGGATATAACCATGAGGTTTTTAGTTCCGTTTCTAACCGAAAAGATACCCTGGGATAATCGGGTATTCTTCCTTATCGGTGTGGTGGGCATTGCCATTGGCAGGACTGTGGTGGCCTGCACCAGATCCTACTCTATGATCCTGGCCAGCTTCGTTTGGATCGGCCTCTGCAAGGGTATTCGCACCATTTTCTGGCCTCTGATCATTCCCGGCTATGTGCCGTTGAATCGCCTGCCGGGCGCCTCTGGATTACAACTACTCATCTCAGGAATTTTCACCCTAGTGGGTGGTCCTTTTGTGGGTGAGTAAATATGGGGCAGTCCTTTAAGTTTAATGGGGAAAAAATTTTAAAGTTTTAGAAGTATTTGAAGCTTTTTTTCTGAAATAATCAAGAATAATTTTTAAAGAAAATTGGCTTTTGAAATTTCAAGAAAATAGCTTTAAAAAAATCTTTATAAATAGTTTCTGTTAATAATTATGTATATTTCATACATCTTCTTTTGCATATTTCTTAAAAACAATTCATTATAATCTTAAAAGCCGGAAAGGTCTCATAAATCAGGACCTCGGCTCCAAGTTCATTTCGTAATTACCAACCTTTTTTAACAACCTTTTCTTTTAAAAAAAATTTTAAATTAATTTAAAATTATATCAATAATATTTATTTAAGCTTAAAAATTTCTAAATTAAGCTTTTAAATTGGTACTAATTTTTGAACGTTTTTTTTACCCCTCTCACTTTTCAGGTCTAGTGCGTGATCGTTACGACTATTCGGTAACCCTGCACTGTCTCAATATGATGTCCTTTGTGGCAGCTGCATCCTGGGCCCTGGAGGCCCTGATTCGACGCCATCGTCGCAAGCACCGTTTGGTTGAAAGCTAAATCAAAAGATTTATTCCCGCCAGGATAACAAGTCCAACTCAGATATCTTAGCATAAGAACAAAAATATTAAGAAAAAATATTTTTTTTGTAGACGTAAAACAAATGAATTTTTTTTTGAATAAAAATAAATATATGTTACATGTTATGTATGTAAAAAATATAAAAACAAAAATTGGTTTTTATTGTGCCTTAAAGTATGCGATAAAAATTTAATATAAAAACTTAAATATTTTTTAAAGTCTTCTTTCAGGCTTCTTATTATTAAGAACTAAGTGCCCTTCCAGAGAATATTATGATTTTGTCAAAAAGTGAGTGATTTTCTCCTCTCCGACTCTATAAAGAATATATATTTATGATCAGGATCACCTCCTGAGTTGATATAAGCATGTCGGTCTATCTGTTTCTACGCGAACTAGTCAATGCCGTCAATTAATAAGGATAAATTAAGAATCAAGAATCAATTAATAAGAATCAATTAATAAGGAAAATTCATAAATACGAATAATGGATAAAAAGTCTAATAATATTATATTATGTAAAATAATAACTACGCTTGAGAATCGGATGAGAATTTGGCAGGATACAGCTATAACTGTGGTCCCTATAGGGAAAACCCCAATGGGGGTCCATCCATCCATCACGAAATTCGGACAAAAAATCTAAAAAATATTTTGTTTCAAGGGCTTGAATGGTGAAGAATCCATACAAAAATCGTTTAAGCTACTCCGCTTGACAATCGGATCAGGATTGGGGAAGATATGGCTATCACTGTGGGCCCTATAAGGAAAACTCACATTGCCAAGGGATTACATCACGAAATTCGGACAAAAATCTAAAAAATATTTTGTTTCAAGGATTTTGATGCAGAATGGTGGCAAATCGATCTAGAAATCGTTTAAGGTACTCCGCTTGGGAATCGGATGAAAATTGGGGAAGATATAGCCATCGTAGTGGACCCTGTAGGGAAATATCCCATTTTTAAGGGATCCCGTCAGGAAAAATGGACAAAAAATCTAAAAAATATTTTGTTTCAGGATTTTGATGCAGAATGGTGGCAAATCGATCTAGAAATCGTTTAAGGTACTCCGCTTGGGAATCGGATCAGAATTGGGGAAGATATAGCCAACACAGTGGACCCTATAGGGAAATATCCCATTTTCAAGGGATCCCATCACGAAAAATGGACAAAAAATCTAAAAAATATTTGTTCTCAGGATTTTGATGCAGAATGGTGGCAAATCGATCCAGAAGTCATTTAAGGTACTCCGCTTCAGAATCGGATCAGAATTGGGGAAGATATAGCCATTCTTGTGAACCCTATAGGGGAATACCCCTTTTTCAAGAGATCCCATCACGAAAAATGGACAAAAAATCTAAAAAATATTTTGTTTCAGGATTTTGTTGCAGAATAGTGGAGAATCGATCTAGAAATTGTTAAAGGTACTCCGCTTGAGAATCGGATCAGAATTGGGAAAGATATAGCCATCCTTGTGGACCCTATAGGGAAATATCCCATTTTCAAGGGATCCCATCACGAAAAATGGACAAAAAATCTAAAAAATATTTGTTCTCAGGATTTTGATGCAGAATGGTGGCAAATCGATCCAGAAGTCATTTAAGGTACTCCGCTTCAGAATCGGATCAGAATTGGGGAAGATATAGCCATTCTTGTGAACCCTATAGGGGAATACCCCTTTTTCAAGACATCCCATCACGAAAAATGGACAAAAAATCTAAAAAATATTTTGTTTCAGGATTTTGTTGCAGAATAGTGGAGAATCGATCTAGAAATTGTTAAAGGTACTCCGCTTGAGAATCGGATCAGAATTGGGAAAGATATAGCCATCCTTGTGGACCCTATAGGGGAATACCCCATTTTCAAGGGATCCCATCACGAAAAATGGACAAAAAATCTAAAAAATATTTTGTTTCAGGATTTTGATGCAGAATGGTGGCAAATCGATCTAGAAATCGTTTAAGGTACTCCGCTTGAGAATCGGATGAGAATTGGGAAAGATATAGCCATCCCCGTGGGCCCTATAGGGGAAAACCCAATTTTCAAGGGATCCCGTCAGGAAAAATGGACAAAAAATCTAAAAAATATTTTGTTTCAGGATTTTGAAGCAAAAAGGTGGCAAATCGATCCAGAAGTCATTTAAGGTACTCCGCTTGAGAATCGGATCAGAATTGGGGAAGATATAGCCAACACAGTGGACCCTATAGGGGAATATCCCATTTTCAAGGGATCCCGTCAGGAAAAATGGACAAAAAATCTAAAAAATATTTTGTTTCAGGATTTTGTTGCAGAATAGTGGAGAATCGATCTAGAAATTGTTAAAGGTACGCCGCTTGAGAATCGGATCAGAATTGGGAAAGATATAGCCATCCTTGTGGACCCTATAGGGGAATACCCCATTTTCAAGGGATCCCATCACGAAAAATGGACAAAAAATCTAAAAATATTTTGTTTCAGGATTTTGTTGCAGAATAGTGGAGAATCGATCTAGAAATTGTTAAAGGTACTCCGCTTGAGAATCGGATCAGAATTGGGAAAGATATAGCCATCCTTGTGGACCCTATAGGGGAATACCCCATTTTCAAGGGATCCCATCACGAAAAATGGACAAAAAATCTAAAAAATATTTTGTTTCAGGATTTTGTTGCAGAATAGTGGAGAATCGATCTAGAAATTGTTAAAGGTACTCCGCTTGAGAATCGGATCAGAATTGGGAAAGATATAGCCATCCTTGTGGACCCTATAGGGGAATACCCCATTTTCAAGGGATCCCATCACGAAAAATGGACAAAAAATCTAAAAAATATTTTGTTTCAGGATTTTGATGCAGAATGGTGGCAAATCGATCTAGAAATCGTTTAAGGTACTCCGCTTGGGAATCGGATCAGAACTGGGGAAGATATAGCCAACACAGTGGACCCTATAGGGGAATATCCCATTTTCAAGGGATACCGTCAGGAAAAATGGACAAAAAATCTAAAAAATATTTGGTCTCAGGATTTTGATGCAGAATGGTGGCAAATCGATCTAGAAATCGTTTAAGGTACTCCTCTTGAGAATCGGATGAAAATTGGGGAAGATATAGCCATCGTAGTGGACCCTGTAGGGGAATATCCCATTTTTAAGGGATCCCATCACGAAAAATGGAAAAAAAATCTAAAAAATATTTTGTTTCAGGATTTTGATGCAGAATGGTGGCAAATCGATCTAGAAATCGTTTAAGGTACTCCGCTTGGGAATCGGATGAGAATTGGGAAAGATATAGCCATCCTTGTGGACCCTATAGGGGAATACTCCATTTTCAAGGGATCCCATCACGAAAAATGGACAAAAAATCTAAAAAATATTTTGTTTCAGGATTTTGATGCAGAATGGTGGCAAATCGATCTAGAAATCGTTTAAGGTACTCCGCTTGGGAATCGGATCAGAATTGGGGAAGATATAGCCAACACAGTGGACCCTATAGGGGAATATCCCATTTTCAAGGGATCCCGTCAGGAAAAATGGACAAAAAATCTAAAAAATATTTGGTCTCAGGATTTTGATGCAGAATGGTGGCAAATCGATCTAGAAATCGTTTAAGGTACTCCGCTTGAGAATCGGATGAAAATTGGGGAAGATATAGCCATCGTAGTGGACCCTGTAGGGGAATATCCCATTTTTAAGGGATCCCATCACGAAAAATGGACAAAAAATCTAAAAATATTTTGATTCAGGATTTTGATGCAGAATGGTGGCAAATCGATCTAGAAATCGTTTAAGGTACTCCGCTTGGGAATCGGATGAGAATTGGGAAAGATATAGCCATCCTTGTGGAACCTAGAGGGGAGTACTCCATTTTCAAGGGATCCCATCACGAAAAATGGACAAAAAATCTAAAAAATATTTTGTTTTAGGATTTTGATGCAGAATGGTGGTAAATCGATCTAGAAATCGTTTAAGGTACTCCGCTTGGGAATCGGATGAGAATTGGGAAAGATATAGCCATCCTTGTGGACCCTATAGGGGAGTACTCCATTTTCAAGGGATCCCATCACGAAAAATGGACAAAATGGATTTTGATGCAGAATGGTGGCAAATCGATCTAGAAATCGTTTAAGGTACTCCGCTTGAGAATCGGATGAGAATTGGGAAAGATATAGCCATCCCCGTGGGCCCTATAGGGGAAAACCCAATTTTCAAGGGATCCCGTCAGGAAAAATGGACAAAAAATCTAAAAAATATTTTGTTTCAGGATTTTGAAGCAAAAAGGTGGCAAATCGATCCAGAAGTCATTTAAGGTACTCCGCTTGAGAATCGGATCAGAATTGGGGAAGATATAGCCAACACAGTGGACCCTATAGGGGAATATCCCATTTTCAAGGGATCCCGTCAGGAAAAATGGACAAAAAATCTAAAAAATATTTTGTTTCAGGATTTTGTTGCAGAATAGTGGAGAATCGATCTAGAAATTGTTAAAGGTACGCCGCTTGAGAATCGGATCAGAATTGGGAAAGATATAGCCATCCTTGTGGACCCTATAGGGGAATACCCCATTTTCAAGGGATCCCATCACGAAAAATGGACAAAAATCTAAAAAATATTTTGTTTCAGGATTTTGTTGCAGAATAGTGGAGAATCGATCTAGAAATTGTTAAAGGTACTCCGCTTGAGAATCGGATCAGAATTGGGAAAGATATAGCCATCCTTGTGGACCCTATAGGGGAATACCCCATTTTCAAGGGATCCCATCACGAAAAATGGACAAAAAATCTAAAAAATATTTTGTTTCAGGATTTTGTTGCAGAATAGTGGAGAATCGATCTAGAAATTGTTAAAGGTACTCCGCTTGAGAATCGGATCAGAATTGGGAAAGATATAGCCATCCTTGTGGACCCTATAGGGGAATACCCCATTTTCAAGGGATCCCATCACGAAAAATCGACAAAAAATCGAAAAAATATTTTGTTTCAGGATTTTGATGCAGAATGGTGGCAAATCGATCTAGAAATCGTTTAAGGTACTCCGCTTGGGAATCGGATCAGAACTGGGGAAGATATAGCCAACACAGTGGACCCTATAGGGGAATATCCCATTTTCAAGGGATACCGTCAGGAAA